ACAAATCCGCCGACCCTGCCGGCGTGTGGAATGGATTGTTCTTCTCGTCCGTGCCTCCTTCCCGTTCCCGCCTTCTCCGACTCCTTTTAGTTCGTCTCCCCCTCCTCCTCCTCCTCCTCCTCCTCCTCCTCCTCCTCCTCCTTCATCTCTTCCTCCTGCGTAAAGTACATTGACTCGGAGGGTTTCCCCTTCCCTTTGTTCCCTTCCCCGGCCGGGGGGGGGGGGGTCCCGGGGAAGCCCGGGGCGGTCCTGGGGGGGATCCGGGGGGGGTCCGGGGGGGGGGTCCGGGGGGGGGGGGGGTCCCGGGTCAGGTAATTCCCCTCCTCCTCCTCCTCCCGAACGTCTTTTGCCACCTTCTCCATCTCCTTTTCGTTTGTCTCCCCCTCCTCCTCCTCCTCCTCCTCCTCCTCCTCCTCCTCCTCCTCCTCCTCCTCCTCCTCCTCCTCACACACTTCCTCCGCCTACCCTGTCACGTTGTCCTTTAGCTCCTTCCTGTGATCACACATCCCGTCGCCATCGACGGCCAAAACCTTCAGGGTCGGCGGCACCGGCCGTCCATAATAATGCACAGCCGAAGTCCAGCAAAACAGCGTTTAGGTCCAGTCCTGGGCTCGAGTTCCTTCCCTGGGCCAACTTGTCGTCCAGGATACCAATGTGCTCGACAGACCCGAGGCCCGTGGAGAAGGCTCAGGGAGGCCAACAACAACGACAAACGCCCCATGCCAGAGGAGACCCGTGGATACAACGGCAACTCCACCGCCGAGCTGCTACTGTTAAGTCGGGCACGCCCCTCTACAGGAGGAACATTCAAGAACATTGTCAACACTGGGGGCGATCTTTCGACCATTCGATAAATGTCGAGCATTGTTTGATTATTTTGTTGATTATCCAAACTTCGCCTGTATGAGGACATGCCCGACCTAATGATACCGTCGAATCTGGAAATCGGTCCCAAGATCCAGAGCCCTGTTCGGGTTCAGCGCGCGACAAGTTTTGTTGAGGACAGCTCAACGCAACCCACTCCCAAACCCCAGGCAGGAGCCCACTCCCGACCTGGCGAAGGGTTCCTGGCTAAGGGCGAGGGCGGGTTTGCCCCAAAAAGCCACTCCCACCCGCAGCCAAAATACTCTCGATTGGAGAGACCAAAAAGTACAGATACCGCTACTCCCCGGACGTCTCCCGGATTCTGTTCTGCCCAGAATTTCGAGGCGAATCCAGCGGTGGCGACGAGGGCCTCCCAGGAGGCCCAAAAAGGTGGAAACGAGCGAAGGGTAGAGGGTTGAAATCCCACCCGCAGCTAGGACCCCCTGGATCACCAGGTCGGGAGCGAATGTCCTGGCTGGGGGTGGGGGGTGGAATTTGCTGCCCTCACTCGTGAGGCGAACCTCTGGCCGTGGCGACGAGGAGCCTGCAGGTGGCTCACAAAGAGGCGACAACGCAAATGAGGGCCGTCGCTGTCTCGACTGGCCCTCCTCCTCCGTCCTCCTCCGTCCTCCTCCGTCCTCCTCTGTCCTCCTCCATCCTCCTCTGTCCTCCTCCGTCCTCCTCCGTCCTCCTCCGTCCTCCTCCTCCTCCTCCTCCTCCCTCCCTCCTCCCTCGCTCCCTCCCTCCCTCCCTCCCTCGCTCGCTCCCTCCCTCCCTCCCTCCCTCCCTCCTCTGCCTTCTTCTTCTCATCCTCCTCATCCCTCCTCCTCTCCTCCTCCTCCTCCTCCTCCCCCTCCTTCCTCCCCCTCCTCCTCCTCCTCCTCCTCCTCTTCCTCCTCCTCCTCCTCCTTCTTCCCTCCTCCTCCTCCTCCTCCTCCTCCTCCTCCTCCTCATCCTCCTCCTCCTCCTCCTCCTCCTCCTCCTCCTCCTCACTCCTCCTCTTCCGTCGGGGGCCCCAGGGGCCCCCTTCCCAACAGGACCCCCCTCCATCCGCAGCGAGCGGCTGCCGCACACAAGAGAGCCCCGCCCAGGCGCGCCCTGTACGAGCAGGTCAGCTGCGGTTCCGTGCCCGAGGCCGCGGCGGCTGGCGCCGCCGACTGACGATCCTGTAGGATCCCGCGACGGGATCCTCCTCGCCGTCCTCTCACCTCCTCGCCTCCTGCTCCCCCTCCTCCTCCCCTCCCCCCCCCTCTCTCCCTCCTCCCCCCTTCTTCTCCCCCTCGTCTCCTCCCGCGGCTGGAGGGGGGAGGGGGGGGGGGCCCAGGAGAAGGCCTGCTCCGTCCTCCTCCTCCTCCGCCTCCTCGCCTCCCCGCCTCCTCCTTCTCCTCCTCCTTCCCCTCCTCCTCCTCCTCCTCCTCCTCCTCTCCAATCTCCTCCTCCTCCTCCTCCTCCTCCCCCTCCTCCTCCTCCTCCTCCTCTCTCCTCCTCCTCCTCCTCCTCCTCCTACTCCTCCCCCATCTCCCCCATCTCCTCCTCCTCCTCCTCCTCCTCCTCCTCCTCCTCCTCCTCCTCCTCTTCCCCCTCCTCCTCTTCTACCTCACCACCCTCCTTCGACGCCTCATTTTCACGCGGTGGGGGGGAGGGGGGGGGACAAGACGCTCCACCCGCACCAGGGACCTGGCGCTAAGCCCTCGCGAGCAGCTCGCGGCGTGGCTCCCGTGCAAGACCCCTTCCTGTCAAGGCCCCCCTCGGGCAAGACAGGACACTCGTGTAACGGCGGCAAGGAGGAGGACGAGGAGTCTGGGAGGGGAGGGGGCGGGCCAACTGGCCCCCCTTCTCCCGTGTCCCTCCTCCTCCTGCTCCTTTCCTCTCCGTGTCCTCTCCTTCCCTCCTCGCTTGCACTTCCTCTCATATTCCTCCTCCTCGTTCGCCTTCGCCTTCTCGCCTCCTCTTCCTCCTTCCTCCGCCTTGCGCACCTCTCTACATCGCTCCTCCTTCCTCTCTTCTCCCTTCTCCTCCGCCCTTCTCCTCCCGACTCGGAGGCGGACCCAGCCGTGGCGACGAGAAGGTTGCCGGAGTACCACAGCGGGCGGGGGGGCACCTTTGTTTTAGGTCGGGCATGTCCCCCTACAGGGGGATGCTCAGAAATATTCAAACACTGACAAGCAAGTAATAGAAAAATCGTCTCGTCCCCAGACCATTGTTTGACTATCTCTGAATATTCCCCCTGTAGAGGGACATGCCCGACTTCATGTAATGTTTGCTGTGGCCAGTGGCTTCGGAGCGGACCGGTCGCGGTCGAGAGGAGGAGGAAGAGAAGGAGGAGAAGGAGGAGGGGAACGCACTCCACCAGACCCCGAACCTCGAGCCTCGATTTGGCTGCTCCCCCCCTTCCTCCTCCTCCTCCTCTTCTTCTCATCCCCTCCTCATCCTCAATAGTTGGCCCGTATCATCAAGATGCGTGGTAAAGGATGCAAGGGCCTTGGAAGGCCGCTTCGAAGCCATTCGAGCCGGGCGCGACCAACGCAAGTGGCCAGGGATGGGCCGAGGAGGCAAGGATGCACGGGCACCCTTGGGAAGGTTGCCCATCCTCACTGTGCGGGTTGACCGTATACCTCCTCCGCATAAAAAAAAACAAACAAAAACTCCTCCTGCCCGTCGCACCCCCAGGCGCGTCGGTGGGGCGGGCCGAGCGTTCCGCCTGAGGCTTCCCCACCATGTATGATCCTAGAGCTGGAAAGCTGCAACAGCTTCACAGATGGAGGGGGGGCGTTTTCTAAATGTGGCTCCTGCCTTAGCGCCGCCCGCATTCGCCTCAAAATTTGGCAGCCGATTCACGTGTTGGCGAGCGGTCGGCTCCATACTGTGGTTCCTGCCTTAGCTCCGCGCGCACTCGTCTTAAAAAGTGGCAGCAGCTCCGCAGGTGGAGCGCGGGTCGTTGTCAAATGCTGGCTCTCGCCCTCGCACCGCGCGGATTCGTCCTAAGGTCGCAACAGTTCCACACATGGAAACGAAGGTCGGTTTCACACTGTGGCGTTCGTCTTCGGAGCGTGCACCTTTACCGATCGAAAGGAGGCCGACTTCTGACCGTGACCCTCGCCGCAGCGCCGCGCGCATTCGCCCTAAGAAACATTGCCGCAATTCTATGGATGGCGGGGGTAGTTTCCAATGGTGACTCTCGCCGCAGCGGGGCGCAGAATTGGTCTTACATCATTGCAGCAGCTTCACGGATGGAGGGCGGTTCCTTTTCAACACGTGGTTCTCGCCTCGGCTCCGCGCGCACTCGCTTCAAAATAATACAGCAATTTCACGGATGGAGGGGGGCGATTGCAGAATATAGCTCTCGATCTAGCGCCGCGCACATTTACCTTAAACGTGTGCAGCAATCCCATCGACGGATAAGGGGGCGTTGCCAACATGGTGCTCTGGCTTTCAAGCCGAGCACATTCCCTCTCACAATTTGCACTCATTTCACGGATGGAAGACATTTCCTTTTCAAGATGGGGTCTCGCCGCTGCGCCACGCACACTCATTTTTCAACGCAACGATTAGCCGGATGGACGATTGCCCTTTTCGGGAATGGAATTCACGCCTGAAACTTCATTAGGTGTAAGGACCCGGAACTTCAACGCACGTAGCGCTGCACGGACCCATGACGGCTCTTTTTCAAACTAGAACTGTCGCTTGAAACTTCCTCGAAATTCATACTGCCTGCGTGCTCCCTGGTTGGCGCCGAGGCGCGCGGCCGGCCTTCTGCTGGGCAAGGCTTCCCCCTCCTCCTCCTCATCCTTCTCCTCCTCCTCCTCCGTAGCCATTTTGGCTCCAGCCCCGCTTGGGCCCTTCGGGGCCCAAACGGGGATTGAGCCCCGTAGCCTGTCTGGCTCAGTGGCGCCGCCCCGCGCGTGGGTCTCCTTCTGGGCGCGCATCGGGCGGTAGGGTGGGGCACGTCGTTAGCGGTGGCGCGCGACGCAAAATTCGACAGTTTGTCAGTGCCCAGGGGGGCCGTCCTCTTCCCCCCTCGCCTCCATGGGCCTCCCTGCCGGCGGGGGCCACCGGATGGTGGAGCCAGCAGTCAGGGAGGAGTTCGACGTCGGCGGCAAGGGTTCGCTGCCCGATGGCGGCTGCTGTTGCGCGACATGTGGATGTGCGACCTGGAGCCCGTGGCGCGGGCAGCAGCAGCTGATGTGCGTCATCGGCGTGGTTTTGCACCACTGGGTGGCAGGTACTGCTACGGCTTCCGAGGGCGCCACCTTGGGGAGCCTTGGCGGCGCGATAGGGGGCCCAGCAAGGCCAGGAGCTGCTCCGCCTGCTGCGGGGCGCAGCGCAGCCGTGTCAGAACATCGCGCACGACGTTGACGGCAGCCGAGCCGAGCAGTCGGTGGCGCCCGTTGACTGCAGCGTGGTGCACGTGCAGGAGTCGGTCGTGCGCAACACTGGCGGCGCACTTGGTGCGCGGCGCGGGACCGCTGATCGGCGTCCGAAGGCCGCGGTGGGCAAGGCCGTGCTGAAGACGAAAGGCAGCGGCGGCGGCCCAGAGCCAGATGCAGGAGCAGCTGGTGGGGGCCGTGCGTCCCATCGACATGGAGCGCATGAGCGGCGAGGTCGACGACGACTGGCGGCTCATGTAGGGCAAGGGCAAGCGGGCGGGCCGCTAGGAGGCGGCGCAGAGCTGCAGCCGGAGCCGTGCGGCAGGCGGACGCTGCGCGTGACGCTGCTGCTGGCGTGGTGCAGCGGTGGTGGCGCGGCTCGAGCGGCGCGCGTGCGGCGCGTGCGGCGGCTGCGCCCTCGCCGCCGCTGGCGGCAGCCCCTGCCATCAAGATGACGAAGGGCAAGGCCAAGCAGGGCGCGGAGATCCTCACCGAGGCGATTCGCGTCGCTGAGCGTGAGGCCGCCGAGCTGGCCAGCGCGGCCCTGGTGGAGTCCTTTAAGGCGGAGCTCGTGCCCGTCTTGAACGCGGTCGCGGAGAAGCTCGGGAAGCGCGCGGTGGTGGCCGCTCTCGGCAGGCTCCGTGACGGTGCCCAGCTGGCGCTGGGCCAAGGCAGTTCCACGGCCGTCTGGGTGCAGTTCGCCGCGGATGCCGAGGATGCCCTCGGTTCCGACTGCGACGACTCTGGCTGAAGGTCGGCGTGGTGAAGGTCGTCGCGTTCGGCCTCGTGGTCGGGGCCCTGTCCTCTCAGGGCCCCCCCGTGGGCTCCCCGTGGTCGGGGGTCCTGTCCCCTCAGGACCCCCGTACGGTCGGGGGCCTTGCCCGTCGGGCGGGCCCCCGCAGAGCCCGACCGCGCGTGTCGCGTGGGCTATCGGGCGTGCGGGGGGGGCAGCACCGTTCCTTCTGAGACTCGCGGATCCTCCTCCTCCTCCTCCTCCTCCTCCTCCTCCTCCTCCTCCTCCTCCTCCTCCTCCTCCTCCTCCTCCTCCTCCTCCCCCTCCTCCCCCTCGTCCTCCTCCCTCCTCTCCTCCTCCTCCTCCTCCTCTTCCTCCTCCTCGCCTCCTCCTCCTCCGCCTCCTCCTCCTCCTCCTCCTCCTCCTCCTCCTCAAGGTCAACTTGGGCCACATTGCACGTGTGTGTGTGTGTGTGTGTGTGTGTGTGTGTGTGTGTGTGTGTGTGTGTGTGTGTGTGTGTGTGTGTGTGTGTGTGTGTGTGTGTGTGTGTTTGTGTGTATGGGGGGGGACGGTCTTTCTTCAAAGGGGGGGGGGGGGCTGCCGCTGGACACCTCCTTGAACTGCATGGCCACTGCTTCTTTTCCCGCAGTCCAGACTACGCTCAGGTCAGGCATGTCCCCCTGCAGGTGGAGCTTGAAGGAAACATTACAAATATTCAAATAGCCCAAACACACTCCAAACGAATCAAACACAGACAAAAAAGTCCCCAGACTATAGTTTGACTTTTTTTGAATAATCCTCCTGCAGAGGGACATGCCCGACGTGAGACTGCGCGTCAGAAACACGCAGGGTGGTTCCTTTTCGACATGCGGCCCTCACCGAAGGAGCAGGCCAGCCTGTGCTGGTCTTTCAAGGGGGGCGCTCCTTATAGGGATAAGGAGGACATGCTGGGGCGTACGAGGGGACTTGGGACGCGAGGGTGCGTTGCAGAGCGCGCCAGGGGTGACGCTGGAAGCGCCGCCAGGGGGGCTCCAGTCGCGGACCCAAGAAATCCGCGCGGAGCGCCCAAATATTCTGCTTCTGGCGTTTTCTCTTCCTGTAGTTCAGAGCCTCTCTGGGGCCACCCTCATGCAAGCGTCGGTCCCCTCCGCTGAGCACCCTCCTGCCAGGGCAGACGGTGGGGCGGACAGACCAGGGGCGGGCGTTACACGTATTCGCCCTGGAGCCTCGTCGAATACATGGGCCACCTGAGGCTGTGGATAGATGCATCCCAGGAATCCAGCCGCTCAAATTTTTTCGATGCGTGGCCCCCCAGGGGACCGGACCACTTCCCAAGGGCCGGTTTCTCGTCCAGATTCACTTTGTCACGCTCCCGAGGCTGGGCGAGGGCCCCCAAGGAGGCCCAAAACTGCCAAAGTCCCGCCGCATCAATCTTTTGGGAGCGTCGGATCTGTGGGATTGCTCCCCCCGAGCTGCAGTCAGCACGTATCATAAGGATGCGCGACAAGGATGCAGGGGCCTTGGAAGCCTATTTCGAAGCTTTTCGAGCGCGGCGCGGCCAACGCACGTGGCCAAGGATTGACCGAGGAGGCAAGGATGCAAGGGTAGTTACCCTTGGGAAAATTGTCCATCCTTACGATGTGGGTTGACTGTATTCGCCCCCATCGTCGCCCCCGATCCTGCTGCCGAGCGCCGATCTCCACCGGCCCTGCCAGCCGCCCCCCCGCCGCGAGGAGCCGCGAAGGGGATCGCACCGAGAACAGAAGCCTCCCATATGGGGTCGGAGTGGATGAGGTCGGAAGGTCGCGCCGCATCGGCGCCATCGCCATCGGCGTGGGGAAAATCGGGCTCCATATCGAGCTGCATCGCCGATGCATCGTCGATGCGGCGCCATCCTCCGACCCCATCTACTCCGACTCGGACCCCACCTGGGAAGCCTAGATTGGGGGCGCGCAAACATGGATGAGCGATCCATGCATGGATTTGGCGCGCGGTCGCCAAATCCATGGATCGGGGGAGGTGCCCTCCCCAAAATGCGGCCGGTGCCGCCGCGTTCGGCGGCGGAATCCGCGATTTCTCATGGAAACGGGACCCGTCGCTAATCCACGCCCCCTTAATCCATGTATGCGATCGCCTGACTAGAGAGAAGGACCCGGTGCTCCTCGATGCTCTCCGCGCCGCCCGCCGCCGCGTCGGGCGGCCCACCGGCCGGCGCCCCGGCGGCGCCTCGGGGCCCCAAAGATCCGGCGCTCAAGAAAAAAAAATGGGGCGGCGGTATTGGGGCAGTTTTCGGCCTCTCGCCGGGCCTCGGGAGCGTGAAAAAACGATTCGGGAGGAAAAAGCCGGCACTGGGGAAGTGGTCTGGCCTCCCCGGGCCCACGCATCAAAAAAATTGCAGCGGCTGGATGCCTTGGAAGTGGGGGACAGCATTGTGACTGTCAGCAAACGGGCCCACAACCCTTGCGGAGCGGACCCAAGTTAGGATGCCCAGGACAGGGACATGGGGGCCTTCTCCGGCAGATGTATCAAGCCAAACCACCCAGGTTGATTACCCCTAGATGCATCGACGGGAACCCAAGTTAGTCTATGTCTTCGTTGTGCCATTAAGTGATATTTGGGATTCTTTCATTCTCGATGACATTGCTACGCATGGGATGACATCAACGAAAACATAATGACTTGATTGGCCATGGTGATGCGGCTCTGATGCCCACCTCGAGGACCGCCATGATATGGATCCAGCTCAGACATGCGTAGAAGAAGATCGCGAGTGCGAAGGCCTATGATGGTAAGTCTTCCCAAAAAGATCGGGTCTAATGGTCTCGAGAAGGGTGCGAGAGCCTATGATGGGGACGGGCCTCGGACTCGTGGAGGGCATAACTAGTTCTGCTGTCCATCGACTCGCGCTGGAGCTTCCACGATTTCTCCAGATGTACCTCGGTATCTCTGGATATGCACCGATCTATTTGGACTTACCTCGATTCACCTTGAGCTATCTAGACTGATCCCCGCAAGTGGAGTGAAGACGAGTCGTCAAGCCCTCAGGGACGGACCTCCCCCGCGTCGTGACCAAAATCACAGCGTCTTGTTGGGGGGGGTCCAACGTTTTCGGCGTCCAAGAAGGGCCCTCACCGGGCCTCCGGGGCCGTCCGAAGCGACTGAGGGCGAGAGGCCTGTCCCCGGGTTGAGGGTCCTGGGCGTCGAATGTCTGGCATTACTGCTTCTGCTGGTACACGCTGGATCCACTGGCGATGGCAGCGCATGCTTGAGGCGTAGGAAGTTCCTCAGACAATGCTGGCACTTCGGGGCTCTTTTCGAGCTTGCCTCAAGAAATCGGGCAGGTGCGCCGAGGTTCCGCCGAGTGTTCGGTCGGGCATGTCCCCCGACAGGCGGATTTTGGAGGACAGATGGAGAAATAGTCAACAAATACCCCAACATGCTCAAACACAGCAAAGACAGATCGTCCCCAGCCTTTTTTTCGTGTGGCCAGGTTTGAACATGTTCCTCCTGTAGAGGGACGTGCCCGACTTAAAAAGCCGAGTGCCTGCCCGTGGCCACCTGGTGGGAGGCTCGTGCGCTGGGGGGGGGGGAGGGCGGGCCGAAGTGTCGCCTGGTGTCAGGTCGGGCATGTCCTCCTACAGTCGGGCCGGGCGAAAGGGGGAGATAGCAAAGGGGTGTTTGAGAATCAGCTAACGTAGCTGATTTTCCTGGCGCCTCCCGGCGCCGGAGGCGCCCATGTATCGAGGAACGGGCCCGACGGCGGGGCCGAAACGAGCTGCATGCAACAGATTTCGTACCCCCCCCTTTCCCCATCCCCCCCTTTCGTCCAGCCCGATACAGGCTCAAGCTTCTCTTGGGCGGGAAATTCAAAAAACAGACCAAAGAATTACACGGGAGAACAAGGTGCCCGGCCGTGGGCGCGTGGTGGGGGGGGCCGAGGTTCCGCCCGGTGCCCGCCCGTGGGCGCCGCGTGCGCCGGGCGGCCGCATCGCCTGCCCCGCACGTGCGACACGGCGTGGCCTGCGCCGGATGCCCTTCGGCGGTGGACAAACCTCCCTCCAGTAAACCTCCCCTTAGTGAGAACGGCCTGGGACCGAAACCGACGGACCACCCGCAAAAATGACGGCCGCGACGCCCTCTCGCGAACCGAAAACGGCCAATTCCTTAGTCGACGTGTCAGGGTAGGTCTATCCACCTCCGAGTCCTCTACGCCATGTGTAGCATTCGCCAGTGGCCTACACCACACACTGCAGGTTCGTGCGGCGTTGGCGCGCGCCAAGGTTTTTGGCACCTCGTCGATCGGTCAACCTTGAACCGATCGTGGCCCGGATCGTTCAAGCTTGAATTCCGTCGGGTCCAATGGCGTCTTCGTGTCCCTCGGTGTTTCCGCGTCGCAGAATTCAACCTTGAACGCCCTTGCTGGTGTCGCTGGCGCGCCATCGCCGCATGAACCTACCGTGCGTATCTTTCACAACACAACTTACATCATCACATGGCCTGCACCACACAGCTTTTGCACCGTGTAGCTGACACTGCATAGCTTGCACAACGTCTGGCGCCGCGTAGCTTGCACCACATAGATTACCCCACGAAACTCACACCACACAGCCTGCACCACATAGCTTGCGTCGCATGATTGACAAACTCACATAGCTTCGACCACATGGCTTACACCACATAGCATGCCCCATACATCTTGTACATCCACAGTGCGACACTGGCAGCTTGGAATCAACGCTGGCAAATAAACATTGCTTTGGGCGTACTTTGTATCTCTGATGCTGGCACCAGTCGTGTTCCACATTGGCACTTATCATATGGTTCATAATGGTGGCTGTGATGGTCACTGAGCAGGGGTAGGCGCTGGCGCTGGATCCAGCGCACTCGCTGGCGACAGTGCTGGCGATGATTGCGTCGTAGTCCGCAACGTCAATGCTGGTGAAGATGCTGGCGGGGGCGATTGCGTTGTTGCCGCTGAAGTTGGCGGCGGTGATGGTGGTGGGCGCGAAGTCGCTGGA